CAAGGCTTTTATTCAGGAAGAGAATATCAAAGCGATGTTAGAAACAGTGGTTAAAAGTTAGAAAAAAGAAAAAATATGAATGCCTTCAACAGTCGTAGAAACCCAGCAAACCGCTTTTGTCTATTGCCTTTAATTGTGCTAGATTTATTTAAGAACAAATATTTTATTGGCAACTAAAAACCATACATAACAACCAGGTTTTAAAGTACACATATCCCCACATCACTTCTTCAGGATTTAAAAAGAGAGAAAATTATACAAATACTTAGTGATAAAGAATGCCAATATTTAACCGCCAAAATCAGTTTACTTACTGATCATGACCAGATCAATGCCTTACAAGAAACCAGTTCATTACAAACCAGCATTTAGCCAAAGTTTTTTTTAAGAATTATTATATTTAACTTTATTTATTTTTATTTATATTTATTTGACCAGAGAAAGAGAGATTGAAAGAGGGAAGGTGAGAAAGCAGGCTACCAGGTCCAGGATTTGAATCATGGTTGGCCAGTCCAGTGCCCTTAGCCACCATGTCACCTGCTAGCCCCAAGAAATATGAGATAGCCAAAGTTTTGAGGAAAACTTTCCCTAAGAAAAAGAATGACAAACTGTATTGTCTAAAAGTATTTAAAGAATCTGGAGGAAGAATGTGCCAGAGATCCATGTCAAGAATATAAAATCTTGGTGCCAGATTATGGTACAGCAGTAACACAATGCTCTGTGATACTTGACCCACATGGGAAGGTCTCAGATTTGGATCTGGAGGCATCCCTGAGTTCACTGGGTGATTCCTCAAATGCCCATGATCTCAGTAGGCTGAGGCTGGGAGTGGATCATAGTATGAAGATCCCACTGGGGCTAACTCTCTCTCATAAAAGAAGTAAATAAACTTAAAACCAATAAACAGGGACAGCCAGTAGAGTGGTGATTAGAGTGGTTGGATCCCATATGACTGACTTCCCAATTCAAGTCCCAGACCCCACAGTTTGTAAGACATGCCAAGCACATATGCATGCATACCCAAAATCCCAACAGCAGAATGAAAAAAAAGGGATTGTGATGTGGTCATCCCCCCTTGGAGGTTTTCTCTCTCTCCCTTTTCTCTCTCTCATGCATACACCCTATCACAAATTAAAAACAAACAAAAGAATATAACATCTT